TGCTATTGCTATGCTATGCGTGAGGCCTATGCTATGGCTATTGCTATTGGCTATGCTATGCTATGCTATGCTTATGCTCTGCTCTGCTATGCTATGGCTATTGCATGCTATGCTATGCTATGCTAGTGCTATGCTATGCTATGCTAATGCTAATGCTATGCTGTGCTATTGCTATGCTATGCTATGCATGCTATGCTATGCTATAGCTATGGGGCTATGCTATGCTATGCTATGCTATGCTAGCTTCATGGCTATGTCTTATGCTATGCTGGTGCCTATGTCTATGCTATGCTATGCTATGCTATGCTAATGCTATTGCTATGCTATGCTATGCTTATGCTATGCTTATGCTATGGCTATGTATGCTAATGCCTAGTGCTATGCTATGCTATGCCTATGCTAATGGGCTATGCCTATGCTATGCTATTTGTTCGTATGCTTGCTATGCCTGATGCTAGTGCTATTGCTATGCTATGCTATGCTATGCTATGGCTATGCTATGCTATGCTATGCTCTATGTTATGCTAGTGCTATGGGCTACTGCTATGCTAAGATGCTATGCTATGCTATGCTATGCTATGCTATGCTATGCTGATGCTATGCTATGGCTATGGCTATGCTATGCGCTAAGGGCATGCTATGCTATGCTATGCTATGCTAATGGCTCATGGCTATGGGCTAATGCTATGCTATGGGTATGGCTATGCTATGCTATGCTATGCTTTGCTATGCTATGCTTGCTTATGGCTATGCTATTGCTGTGCCTATGCTATGCTATGCTATGCTATGCTATGTCTTATGCTATGCTTATGCTATGCTATGCTAATGCTAGCTACTGCTATGCTATGCTATGCTAGCGGTATGCTATGCTATGGCTTATGCTATGCTATGCTATGGCTATGCTATGCTATGCTATGCTAATGCTTATGCTATGCTATGCTATGCTATGCTATGCTAGTGGCTTTTATGGCTATGGCTATGCTATGGTATGCATGCTATGGCTTGCTATGCTATGCCTATGCTTATGTATGTTCGTATGCCTGGATGTTGCTATGCTATGCTATACTATACATAGCTATAGGCTATACTATAACTATACCTATACGGCTATACTATATATACTATACTATACTATACCTATACTATATATACCTAATATATACTATACTATACTATAACTATAGCTATACTTATATTATATTACATGCTTAAACTACTTGAAGGGTGGTAGTGAGTAACAGAGAGTTTTAGATGTTATTGTCGCGCATATTACAGGTGGATAAAATACATTTTTAACACTTTGTGGCATGATAAAAGACGTAACTGTAGCAGACATATTATGACGATTAAGAGAGCCTTTTTAATTATCTGGATAAAGACATAATAATTTGCTGAATTATTAACATACAACATGTATTTTTTGTGTTTTTTTTCTTCTTTCTTTTTGTCTTTTTTCTTTCTTTTCTTCTTTCTTCTTTTCTTTTTTATTTCCTCTTTTCTTTTATCCTTTTTCCTTTTAATTTATTTTGTTTCTTTCTTTCAGTTGCACTGCGGATGTTGTGTATCAGCGATTGTCTAGAGTTTTCGTCTGAGAGTTTTTTTTCTTGCGGATGAGGGTCTTGCGCCCGGCGGAGCTTTCACTGGGCAAACCGCGGTTCGCGTTAACCGCCGAGGATCGCAGGGTCCCCCCAGACAGGGCGGGGCTTGTGGTTGTGCTGCGCGTGCCGGTTCGCCGTCGCTTGGGGCAACGGGCTGGGCGAGCGGGCACGAGGGCGGCGCGCTCGACGCGCAGCCCGCCAACGGCCACCATGGCCGCCAGCTGCCGACGGGAGGGCCCTCCTGGTGTGGTGCAGTGATCAGTGGTGGGCATGCGCAAGCGCCGCGGCAGAACCCGCTCGCGTCTGGTGCGAGGCCGCCGCGCGCCGAAAGTGTGGCGCTTCACACGCGTCGCCGTGCAGACGCGCCTCGCCGCGCCACGCCCGGGTGAGCACGCACGCTCCTGTCCTCGGAACTGGGCTGCTAGCTCCGTGAAAGCGGGAGAGGAGCGATGTAAAATAGAAGAGGATGGTAAGAGGTGATGTGAGCGTGTGTAAATAACCCTCGATTCAGAGAAGGAATCGTGTGTAAAAGAAAAATAATTAAGTGTAATATATCTGTAAATAGACGCAAGTAGATTTTAGTGTATGCATTGTTAGACGAATAAACCTTCTTTGTTTAAATATTGTGTTGGGTTTTTAATTCACCACGGAGAAAAGTTGGCGAGGGATAGATTCGTGCCGTAGGCTGGGTGCAGTCGCCTTTATATTCCAAACAAGCCAGTTTAAGGTTTGGCTTTGAAATGCAAAAAAATTATTAGTACTAGTTTATATTGATGCATAGATCAGCGTGTTATATAACTAAATATATAAAATGGGCAAACACAGGTGTGGGCCTGCCTAGCGCACATTCTGACGCATACGACTGTCCCAGTAAAACGAGTACCATTTTCTCGGCGAGATAGAATAGTCCATAGAAAGGTGCCCGGTTGCCGCCTCCTCTCGCTAGCATATGTTCCGTGAAAAGTAGCATAATGCCAAACGGTTCAGAGTGTCTGTTTGTCGGTGAAGCTAGCTTTTCCTCCTTTCTGGAGTCATAGGACACTCTGTTTTTATCAATTTAATTCTGAAATGCGAGATATAAAAACCAGAAACGCAAAAAATCAACCAATATACACATTTCGACTGCTTTTTTATTACTAGATTTATTTTTCTTTCTGAACAAATATATTAATTTCTTTTTTAAATAATAAACAATTTACATGCTTCTGGAGTATGCTTCTGGAACGCAAATTTTTGCTTAGAAAGCATTTTTTCAAATCAACTTTTGATCTATTATTGCGGCTCAAGGCATTATTTCTGGTAATCTTGATTTTTCAGAATTATTCCACTAGGACCTGCATTTCGAATGTAAAATTTGGCTAATCTGGTTATACTGAGATGAATCATTTCTCACCATCTCAATTCGGAAAAATGTAAAATACACATAGACAAATAAACCACGGATGGGAGATAAAATGGCTGTTGTCAACAAAATGAATAAAGAAACGTGATAAATGCCACTAGGAAGTTATAAAATAGAGAAATATTTTTGTCCAAATTGGAACACGTTTTAATTAATTGCGGTGTAAAAGATGTGAAAGTGAAGAATTAAATACCTAAAGGATCATAAACAATGCATTTAGGGACGCTTCAGACAAAGCCAGTTAAAATGAAAAGCTGGGTAATCTGCGCAGGGTGACGATCGAGGAGCACTTTTGCGAATCACCTGCACAGAGGAGGGGGTAATTGAATTCCCAACTTTTTGGTGGTAGAGAAAAGAAGGGAAGAAACTTTCGAGCAAGAGAGTTGTGTCAGAGCGTAGATTTGTGAATTATGATATTATTATTTAAAAGAATGAATAGAGACTCGTATGGACTCATTTTTAGAAACTAGAGTCGAACAGTTCTGAAACGCCTAGCTAAATTAATAAACGGAGTTATTTTTTGGCGAGATTAGAAATGTTTGTGCAGAATTTGGAAAACTGGACATGAATTGGAAATATGATACGGATTGTTTTAAAAATGTTATTTGTTTAATTGCATTTTTATTTAAATTTTATTTTATTTAAAGAGACGACCAAGTTTAGTTCTATTGCAAAATTTATTGTTGTAGAAATTTCGAGAGCAAGTATGTGTGTGATATGAACTGTAAAAATACAAAAATTGAATAATTACGAAATTCATGAAAAATGTGAATGTTATTATTTTAGAAAAAAAGTAAAAGTACAATATTTCTGATATTCTTTTACAAGATATCCACACCCTGAGTGTTTGTAGGGTAGACGTCTAGCAACCCACTCTTTTAAATGTTCCTAGATCAAGTAAATAGACCTTTCCATACAGAATTTCATTCGTAATTAATGAAAGAACAGAACTAGTCAGGGGACATTTAAGTTAACAACATTAAAAAAATTTAATACAGGTGAAAAAATGTAAGGGATAGTAAAAATCTCCATACATATACACTATCACCCAAATGTATCATCAAATATCCACCAAATATATTAAAAATATCACCTAACTAATATGGAAACAATATTATACGAATGTTATCTTGTGATTATTACGCGATCATAATCTGAAATTAATTTTTGTAACTAATTCAAATAGAAATGAACTTAGTGGAAAGTATTATCACATCTTTACCTCTTTCATTAAAAACGCAACAGGCATACTACTTGTGTTACCAATAAAATAGAGCCCTTCAGAACGTAATGTATCACTATAGTTCTGATATGATGGCCTAGAAGTCAAAATTAAAAAATTGGAAGACGGATTATTGAGTATAAACTTTTGAAATTTACTTTCAAAAATTATGATACCAATAATTAAAAAGGCAATTTTTTCGTGAAAGCTTTCATACATTTTGTACACACGTCTCTGAATATTTCAACACGTTAATTTATCAACATGATTGTTTGAAAAAAAGTAATTAACGAACGCCGAAGTGCGTTCAACCCCAACCAAACAAGCGGTTGAGAATAAAATAAAAATGTATAAACAAGGTGGGAAATCAGAGATTAAAAAAATTAACTTTTTTAATTAATGAGATCCATCGGACGATTACATTCAAAACAAAAAGTGGATCATTAGTAACTTCCTCCTCCTTAATTTCTGATAAAGAGAAGGAAACAAATGACACGGATGGGCGTGTCGTATATTTAGGATAAGTGGCATAGTGATATAAAAATTCCCCACCACTTCACCATTTAACTAACACTTCCGCAATGAAAGTAGACACGCATTCCATTACCCCAGTCATAATTTTAAGGTTAGTTTTAGCTACAGCCCAACATTACCTTAAACAAACTCGACATCCGCCCTTACTTTAGCATAATCTTATCACTTGAAAGTCCTGCTTATTGAAACATTTCATTTCTGCTAATGCGAATACGAATAACGTAAAATAAACGGCGCAACGTACCAAAGTGGCCTGGAGTCTTCCTTCGCGAGCCGACGAACGCTAGCATGACGTAACTCGTGCGCTCCGCGCGGGGTCACGCTCTTGACTAGACTACGGGTCACTGGGTCACTGTAGCGGATACGCCGGCACTCGACTCCGTTCACAGAAGACCCGTTCACCTCGATATCGAAGCACAGCGCCTCCTCTTTCTCCTTGATACCCGCTCGGAGAATTCTCCCTGGAACAGTAATGAAAGTGGGACTGCGGGTGTCCTGAGTGTTGAAGCAAAACATTTGAATATTTTTTTTTTTTTTGTAAATCTCTCCTTTTGATGGTTTGTAATTATTCATCGTATTGAGCAAAGAAACAATATTTATCTTTGGCTTAACCATAATTTTCATACAATACTCATCTAACTGTTCTTGAATTATACTTGAATTTTGAACATCACTCAAATATTTTTTACGTGATAAATTTGAAGAAAACTGGTGGCCAATAATATGTTTGTTGAAATATCAGCAAAATACGGAAAAAATGTAATATAGCACATACTAATATGTAACAAATATGAGGATTTTGTGTTAGGAGAAAATGATTTTCATGCATTTCTGACTTCTGTGAAAAATGGAATATAATACTGGATTCAAATTTCTAAGACAAAAGGTTCTCTTTTTGAAAAATATTTAATTGTTTATAAATGTTTCGAACGATTTGTATTTGAATTACCAGACAACAAATAATTCCTTCATTATATCTTGTCCTTAAATAGGATTGCTTTACGAAATTGTCAAGTAGAATATTTGAATGTGCATTTTACATATTGTGTGACATGTATTGTTGACATTTCACTGTATCATTTGAAAGTAAACTGTTTTGGTGTTACATGCAAATGGCAATTCCGGAATTTTAAGATGATTGGGGAAGAAAAATTGATTCGAAATCGGCAACTCTAGTGACATTACAATTTTAATTTCTTGATTACAAAAAATTTAAAGTTCTAAAAGGTTAGAAACCCAGCTTTAAGAAGTTTATTTTGCGTGTTTATGAGTAAAGGAAATTTTAATTTCTAATAAAAATGTGAAAAAATCTAAGGAAATTGTAGTACTTTAAGAGATTTGAAATATGAATTAAGTGATTTTTAACCTCGTGATAGAAAATATAAAATCAACATTTAAAAAAATGCGTTTCATTTAAATATACCTACATCCTAATTATAAAAACGAAAAGTACCTATATTTACATTGTTAAATTTTTGTTACTTGAACTAACGTCTTGATTTTTTTTCAGATGAAATTACTAGCAGTTGTGGCAATGGCTGTGCTGGCTATATTGATTGTCCTATTAAAAAGTAAGTTAATGCCATTTGTTAAGTGCTGTTAATTGAGCAAAACACATTGACTAACAGAATAGTCAACGACAATTTTAGTCATAATCTAATTTATCCATTTCACTGCCGCTCTTCTGTAAACTCCTCTCTCATTTTCTTTTTATTTCTGACATATGGTTATGGGCGCATGTCTTCATTTGAGAAATGTCTGTAATTTACTTTTGTTTGGAATTCTTAATGAGTGAATTAGTGAAAGATTGGCATCACCACGCAAGAAAACTTGCGTTCCGTATCCCTATCCCGCCCTCCCATCTCGCCCTACATCCGCAAGAAAAGACAATACCTTAGCGAAACATTTTATGGCATAAAGCTTTATGAACATAACTTTCACTTTACCTAAAAAATTAAAATAAATTCAACATTATCGGACATCTCACGTGAGCGTATCCTTTCAGTTATCCGCTAATGCTTCCTGCTCACAGTTTTTTTCTAAAAATATTTAATTTTTATAAAGTTAAAGTGCTATTTGTCCTCCGCAGAGAAGTATGTTTCATTTTACTCATTTATAAATATTTGTTGCATGTCGTTGCCGAAAAAGGTATTTATATTGTAGAGATATTTCAAATGATGATAGGGAAGTCTCTTATTTATTATAACCAAGGTCTACATTTCGAACGAAAGTAATTTGCCATTATTTTATCTATGCCGAATTATGTCATTATTAGTCAATCGCTCACATGGCAACGAGGTAGACACCTCAACATCTGACCAAGTGATGTAAATGGTTTTAAAGAACACATTGACATTATATTCTTTCTAAAAACAAGTCAATGATTGAGAATAGTGATGGAATTTGAGGCAGGGTAAATGTGATGCAAAACGTGAAATTTATTATTATTATTATTATTATTATTATTATTATTATTATTATTATTATTATTATTATTATTATTATTATTTTATTTCTTTTATTTTCTCATTTCATTGGTACATTTAAATGGATTATTGTACAGATTTACAAAATCAAAGCACAATACATCTATTTTTAAAAGTATTCATAGCACATTATTTCCCATGAACTTCCGGACTATCCTTGTTGTTGAGATAATTACTGCTTTCTTCATAACTTTGTACAAGTCTTCATTCAAACCTAGCTGCTAGAGATTCCGTATCAGACACATAGGGATGACTCCGGTGCTTGAAACAATTGTGGGGACGATGTTGACTCCTTCCATATTCCACTGTTTATTAACGGGCTTAACAAGATTTGCATATTTACTCATCTTCTCAGTGTATTTACTTTCAATATTACCTGTATTTGGGATAGAAACATCAACAAGCATGGCATATCTCTCACACTTGTTAATCACCACCAAATCTGGCCTGTTGTGAATCATTGTCTGGTACGTTAAGATAGTTTAACCCCAATTCAAGCGCCACTCTTCGTTCTCCAGTACACTCACAGGTTGGTACTTAAAGTACGGTACCTTTTCTTCAGTCAGAAGACAAGATTTATGAGCCATCGCTTGATGTAAAATTTTTGCTACTCTACCATGTTGTTTATATTCAGTGCCTACCTGATGTGTACAACCTTATGTAACCTGTTGAATTGATTCAACAGTTGGATAACCATAACGACATGAATCGTTCTGCACATTACCATCTTTATTTAACACTACACTTCGTATAGTTACGTGTTGGGATACCTTGATCCTGAATAGCGAACATAAACCCTTCAG